CAAAAGCTCTAAACTTCAAATGTTATATGATGAAATGTTGTCTTAAATATTTACAACAAATTGACTACATAGACTATAAAACAAGACACACCCAAAAACAGAAAGAGAGAAAAAACGTGGGGGAAAAAGAAAGAGAAAACGGGGGAAAAAGTGAGAGAGAGAAAGAGAGAGAGAGAGAGAGAGAGAGAGAGAGAGAGAAGATGATTAGAGTTGAGATGATTGGTATGAAGTTGCCCAGATCGAACGCTGATTTTTTATTAATAATTATTTCATTAATAATACGCCGACTCAAGAACGTACGTGATGAGCAAAATGCTGCCTGAATTTCCTCCTGTGCATCTTTGTAATGCGGTTGTGGTTGCGCTTGCAGTTGCATGCACGACTGCTTCATACATCTAAAAAAAAGCTTCCCAGTCATCAGAGCGTTTCATGGCAACATAAATTAGTACATATCCGACGCATCAATCAATTCTTTGCAGTATAACTAAAGGTGCTTTTTTACAAACTTATTAAAAATAAAATTTTGACAAAAAACTTTTGATTTTTGTAACTTAGTTATCAATAATTTAAACTTTTGTTTAATTTCGACATAATTTAATGCAACAAAACCACATAGCAGTAACATAGATGAGATTCCACCTCTAAACATTCAATCAATTTACTAAACTATCTTGAATTTAAAAAATCTTAATTGGTTTTTTTAGCGGGAGTAATAAATAGATAGCGCGTATGTACATGCTTAACTTAACAATTTGTAATCTGAAGTGGAGGGAGGTGAGCTGAATGGTGATTAACGATCGGATGCTTGGAAATGAACTCCATCATAACTCCTGCCATCCTGACTGCAACAAACATCATCATCATCCCTATCGCCATCTTCGACAACTGCCCGTCAACGAAGGCGGGGTTATCTCTAAAGACTTCCTGCTCTTCTGTACGAGCAAAACATGACGAGGCTGAGTTTTTTCAAGAATTTTCAAAATCATTCTTTAAAATTTTTTTGGTATTCTATAAAAATTGGTTCTCATTTGAAGTATAGTAAACATATAAATAATATTTACAACCATTTTTAAAATTTTCAATCGTACAATATTAAGCATTATACTTAAGAGCAACGCCAAACGCAAATTTTTTCATTTGATTTTAATAGTGATCAAATAGAGAAAATAGCTTCAAAATAAAAATGTTGGACGAATATTTGTAAAAAAATAAATTTTAAAAAAGTTGAAAAAACATCAAAAATGACAAGAAAGTGGCAGAGTTAAGCTGAACACGGAAGATTCAGCCACACATATAAGCATGTAAGTTCCAACTAATGTAATAACGTTATTATCTATCATTCAAATAACCGCCATTATGATGTCGTTGTTCTCAAACAGAAAGACTCTAAAAACATTTTTTGGATAGCAGACATTTTAAAATTGTTCCTTTATAAACAACTGCCATTATCAATACATTTTTAAAGGCGCTTTATTTCATAATATTAAAAAATTCCACTCAAACATGTCTCGTTTTCAACGTTCTTCCATTCTTTTTACGTGCATGTCTTTCCGCCACGTTCCATTTGACAACTTTGCCTCTTTTTGACTTTACGAGCTCACCTGGAGTAATTATGTGATAAAAAACGTAAAATTTGAAAATGTGGTGTTTTTTTAATAAAATGCTTTAGCGAGTAAATTACAAATATTTACAAAAAAGTGGCGAGTTAAAATTTCTGATGACGAAGCAATTAATTAACAGAATTAATTAATAAAAGTAAATATTAAATGGAGACAAAAAATTTCAAGGATAAATAAATAATTTTTAATGGAAAGGAGTGTTTTTTTTTTATTTTTTCAAAGAGTATTGTTAATAAAATTGGTATTCTGTATTTTCAGGCGATCACATGTTTCAAATAATTTAAATTTAATTTAATTTGTACCTCAAATTGCTGAGAATGAAGAAATGAATTATTCAATGGGGCTGGCTAAACATTTTTTTTCATTTGTTTTATCATGAAAATTTTCAATATTTGTATTCTATTTTTCATAAAAATTAGTTTCTAAACAATTTTTTTCCACAAATATTATAAGAAGTAGAAAGTTAAAATTCACAGCCAACACAATTATTTGAAAGTCACAAATGGAACAAAAATCATTAAAAAAATAATATCACCGAGCGTGCAAACATCATCCACACACGCTGGACTGTGGAAGAAAACAGGAAACCGAGAGAGAAAAGAGTTTAATTAATCATAATATCAGAGTAACACGTTCGATAAACCCCGCACGTTCCTCCTTAATACCAACCTCACCACTCTCCACATTGAATAAAAAATCCAGTTAAGCTAATAAAAATTAAGGTGGGAAAGTTTGTATAAAATTAAGCAGTCAATAAAAATCAATTATCATTTTCATCTAATAATTAAGTATAATTCGCCGATGTATTTTTAATTTAGTTTCAACGCTTTTGGTGAATAATTACAAATATTCATATTTAAATATAATAAAATAAGCAGAAAAACTCACACTCACACCAAAAGCTTTAATAATTCATAATTCGCGCGCACACACACCAACAAACTCATATCAACTCGCTCTTACCAAGTCACACTCCACAATGAGAACAAATCTATAAACACCCGAAATGTGACTTTTGTTGGAAAAATTTTTTGCTCTTTTCAAACCGACAAATCTAACAGCATTAAAAAAGAAAGATTGTTTTACATAAAGTTTACAAAGTTATAATTTGTTTTATAAAGTTCTGCTTTACCAGTTAATAAATTTTATCCAATTTCACAATTTCATTCAAGGTTCAATTTGCAGCTTCATTTGGTTCGACCTTTGCGAGCATAATTAATTTTTATTGTTTCTCATTTCATATGCTGGGCGTCCATTTTTGTGGTGGAATCTGTAGAAATTAACTCCAAGAGTTTTAAGCGTCGGCTGAAATTGTCGGCATGGAAGGTGAAGATCTGATGATTGCAGAGAAATTTGCATTGGAACAAAACAAACAGAAATACAGAGTTGTCGTTTAACCAAACAACCTCACCTCAGATTCCTAAACGGAGGAAATTTCACAAAAATGTTGCTTCAACTGTTGGACCGACTCCCTTCAAACAGTTACTTCCAACACGAAATTATTTCAAATTTTGAAAAATCTTCACAATTTCAATGAACATTTGAAACTACACAAGTAGATGTGTAACGACCAGCGTACAATGTGATAATTTCTCTTTTTTAATTATAAACATTGGAAACAAAAACATGGCATTAAATATTTAAAACATTGTTGTTGTTGTAGTTTTTGTAATAATAGTAGTTGTCTTTGATGTTGTTGTTGTTGTTGTTGTTATCATCATGTTGTCGAGCACATTCTGTTAGGAAATAAATATAAATTGGTTTAAGATGCATAAACATCAGTTTGCTCTTTATTTGCACATTCGTCAATATTAATTTTGTAGCTGCAGGCTGATTGTTGATGTCATGCTGAGGCAGGTTGATGTTCGCGTGCTGTATGACATTTATTTATTTAAACCTATCCAGAAGTGGTTACATTGCAAAGATGTTTTCAAACAATTGAGCAATCAATTACTTCAATTTGTGTAGCGGCGAACTTTCAGTGTATAAGCGCGCGTTTTGATATTTGGCTGCTGGGCAACGTGCACATTAACAAAAATTTAAACATGCCATATGTTGTATAACCTTTGCTAGAGAACCTAGAGAACCAGGCCACAGCCCTGCAGGTTTTCTTGCTCTAATCGTTGGGCCACACATTCTTACGTTTTAAATTAAAAGAAAGATTGTTTTACCTGGTCTCAATTTAATTTTATATTTGCCTTTTATTTTGCATTTTGTAAGCATGAATTTATTTCGAAAGATGACCGGTGGTTATTTGGAACTGCTGCCTGCAATCGTTACAGATGATTTTGATGGTTTCATCATTCAATGGAGTTATATTACATTGAAACGCACATTTTTCTGAAAAAAATTCAGTTATTTTTTCCAAAAAAGATCGATTGCGCATTTCTTTTTCATATGAATGCCAAAATGATTTATGACAAAATATATTAGCAACTGTTTTTAGTGATTAAGTTTCGTTTAAAGATCGTGGCAAGAATGTATATTGTGGATTACTTTCAGTTAGTATCCTGTAAATAAATTATCAAATTGCAACGACCAACTTCAACTTTTTCCAATCAGCACTCAAGCGGAGATCAAACAAAATGAAAACAGCATGGAATGATCGCAGTGACGTCATCCATCCTCTCATCAAGCTCTTTGACGTGTGTTGACTTGAACATGCCCGCAAGAGCATAAACAACAGAGTTTTCATGAACAACAGCATGAACAAGATGTCGAGAACGTTGGCGCTTATGAAAACATCACGAAAACTACAAACATATCGAAATTTCTAAACTGGTGCAAATTATATAATGCGATTTTTCAACGCTTTCAACAATTTTGAAAATTATACCTCTACTGCAACTTGACAAAAAAATTAAAAAGTTGCAGAAAAAATGAATAAAATAAACAAACAAGCTGTTTTATTGCAAGAATAAAACATGAAAAGCAGCATAAAAATTAAACTGTTGAAAAATAATAAATCATCTGGACTATTAAACTTCATTTGAACTTCACTCGCGTTCATTCAAATTGTTTCTTCAAGTGGAAAGAAGCAATGAAAGGAAAAGTCTATTCAACGCATTCATTCAATTTACTTTACGTACATTTTATAGGGAAAATTATTTGGAAACGTTTTTCTTAATTTTTATACAAATATGTGAAGAATAAAATTTATGGCGAAACTAAATGGATACGAATTCGACAATGCAACAATTTGAATACCTCATTCAACCAGCATCACCATCTTTCCCAGAATTGTCATCGTTGTCTCCAACCTTTCCAACGTCACCTGCATCATCATCTACATCGTCATCATCCTCCTCTCCCTCACACCACTACATGACTGCCCAGAGTTCTACCATTTATTCTTCATTCCTATTCTCTCCACGCTATCCGAACACTGCCTCGCTCATATGTGTGGCCATCATTCTGACGGTCATTGTGGTTGTCATGGTGCTCGGAAACTTGCTGGTCATCATTTCACTGGCCAGGTTTAAACATCTCAGGACTGTCTCCAACTCGCTCATCGGTTAGATCAAATGTTCATTCTCATAATTTATGAGTATTTGAAACATAAATGATTATCATTTTTGAATAGGACGTATGATAACAATAGAAAATGAACACACCATAGTGCTTCAAGTGAAACAAAACACACCAAAATCTAAAAACAAAACGTAAAACTAACATACAAAAGCGTTCAGTAATTTTCAAATGTTAGCAACCCTACCATATTCACGCACAATTGATACTATAGATCCGCAATTGATAACTTACTGTATGTTTTTTTCTCTTCTTTTCTCTCTCTCCCTTTCTCTCTTTCTTTCTCTCTCTCTCTCTCTCTTTCTTTCTCTCTCTCTCTCTTTCTCTCTCTCTCTCTCTCTCTCTCTCTCTCTCTCTCTCTCTCTTTCTCTATCGTACAGAACACGCGCTTAAACTCAGTGTATGCATTGTAAGAGGCTGTACTAGACATCCGACAAGAAAGCATGCAAGACATTAGTGCATGTGAGAATTTCAAATTTTAAAAAATTTGTGAAAAACTTGTCTTCTCGTAAAATGTTCAAAAATAAACCAACTTGTTCACGTTCTCTAACACAACGATGACTTATTTTCAATGCAACAATGAAAAGTTCAAACATTAATATTAAAAAAGAAAGTAAATGAAATGAATTTATTACGTGAATATGCAGCGGCATATAAATGGGGCGGTCTACAATTTTCCGCTTCAAAGGTTATTTTTTTTAATGAGTTCTTAAAATGTGGACAAGTTCAGCATTGTAATTAAGTATTTATTTCTCTTGTTTTGTTTCTTTGTTCAAAAAAGTTTTAAATTTTGTTTTTTAAACCGTCAGTTATTTTCTTACATCTAGCAGTTTTTAGCAATATAACAATATTTGAGTTTTCTAACCAATGTTTTTGAACAAGAGTATAATTATTAAGCAAGAAATTGTTTTCCATCACAGTCGGCAGAACCATTAGCTTCCATTAATTGATTGGGACGGTATCCAACGGTGTAATGATGTGGGACCATGGGCCATACGCACCGCTGTTCAAAGACGCCCTGAACCTGCGTGCACATAGAAGAGATTTGTTTTTGGTCCTTTGTTAAGAAAGATTGAGCACAGAGAATTGTTTCACCTCGACAGGCAACTCATTTCAAACCCTTGGTAGGGCATGATGGCGTTTGGGAATGTGGTAAGGAGTTTGCCAACGATCCGCGAATCATTTTGACGCCTTTATGGCGGGATTTGAGGTAGCGTAAAAGGTTAGAACAAAAATTGTGAAAATGATTTGATTAAAAACAGGAATCCAGTGAAAAATTGGAGTGAGAAGGAACCTTGAAACGAGAATTTCAGCAACTGCTAACGTGTTTCGACAAGCAGTTTATTTTTTTTATGATTCTGTCTAGTGACTTGAACATTTTTTTTCTTTTTTTTAATTTTTCTAGTGCGATATACAACAGAAATATAACTTCATTTGCAAGTTACGTGTGTTATAAGTGCAAGTAAATATATATAGTAATCAAATTCACCTTTTACACTAACAAATTGTTATGATTTATCTCTTGGCTAGTTATCAACTTTTCTTTAAAAATGAGAAAACATAATAAAAGCAAGTAAGAAGTGAAAATAATATCTTCATGCAAATATACAAAACATAATAAAAGAAAGTAAGTAGTGATAATAATATCTTTATGCAAATATACAAAATATAATAAAAACAAGTAAGAAGTGATAATAATATCTTCACGAGATGAACTCACCAAAAAACTGCCTTCCCCGATATAAGCTCCTGCCAGCAATAGGAAACAATTAGAAGAACATTTAGGAAAGCAAACAAATTCCCCCACGTCAGCCATCCATTTTTAAGGAATGGAACGTTGCACTAATGAGCAACAATTTGCAACAGGCAAGTCAGATGAATCTTTCTAGCATGTTTGATTTACGCAGAAGAAAATGTAAATTTCAGTTGAACTGAAGTTAGTGCTGGTAACAAAAAAGCATCCCCGTGCGGAATGTTATTACAAATTGAGCATGAAGAACAGATGCATAACTGAATAGTAAGAAGACACCCCGGCGATAATATCAATTCAAACGTAGACGTTATCTTTGAGAAGTTTTTGGATATTAATTGAAAAAAAAAATGAAAAAAACAATTTTGTAAAATTTGTTGTAATAATTTTGTAAAATTTTGTTTAATTAAAAACTTTGAATGAAAAATAAACAGGAAACTTGGCTGCCAGCGACTTCCTCCTGGCCATCACCGTTCTGCCATTCTCTTCTGTCAACGAATGCCTCGGAAGGTTGGTGCCTGTGCATTACAACGTCCTTCACATCGCACGCAACACCTCCTTAGTGCTAGCCATTTCTACAACTTTTATATCACGTTTTTGTAATTTTAAATAAAATGTTCTGGTAAGGTGTGGTTTTACAGTTTCCAGCTTTTGAATTTTAAATATATTTGAGACGATTCTCGGAAAGATACATTTTCACTTCATCATACCCCTTATCAGTTTGAAAAATGTTTACGGCTGTTACGATATCATGTGTGTGCGTGCGTGTGTGTCTGTGTTTGTGCGTGTGTGTGTGCGTGTGTGTGTGTGTGGCTGTAATTGTACGTGTGTGTTGTTTATATTTTATAAAGTTTTGTAACATTCATCCGAATTTAACGAAAAAAATTGTTGAGCCGTTATATTAAGAGTCGTCATTACTTTTTATGGTGTTAAAATGTTTTTTTTCTCTTTTCATCAATTTTTATATTGTTCAATTATTTTACTTAACAACAACTAACCATCAAACAAGAAGCGAACTGAACGCTGCTCAGTAAAACCAGCCAGCCAATCAAACGTGAATGGAGAATCCAAAAAAGTTATTTGCAAATAAAGAAATTAGTAAAAGTATGCAAAGTAAACAAGCAGCTGAACCGCCATAAACTGCCATCCTCATTTGTCAATTTCTTTACTTACGCTCGACTGAAACTTATATACTTATAACTTTTTTATTTGTATTTTTATATGAAAAAAACCTTTTCTTCAGTCAGTCTGAAAGAAATTGTCTTATAATACGAAATAGTTTTCACAAAGTCCACCTCTCAATCAATTAAACGTCTTCCTTACTCTGGATGGATATGGAATGCCACAGGTTCAATAGAGACCTCAGTATGAACTACACAGCACACGTCTGCTCTCAAAACAAATATGAGAAAGAAACAATGTAACTGACAGACAATAGTTATTCGGTTAATAAATCACAAGTTGGACATAAAACACGATTTGATAGCGTTTAAACATGTCAGAAAACATGCGTGACAGCATAAAATGTGTACCTATTTGGGTACCTATATTTGAAAAGCTGGGAACTGACATTGATTTCAATTCTTTGTTTCAGGTGGGTTTTTGGCAGAATAACGTGCAACTTCTGGTTGATGGCGGACGTGATGTACTGCACTGCCTCCATCTGGAACATCTGCGTCATTGCCCTTGACAGGTACACGGCCACCCTCTTCCCTCTCTGGTTCGTTTCTTCTTCCAAGTCTCGTTTTTTATTTATTTATTAGTTTTATTTAAATTTTTTTAATTGTTTCATTTTAAGTCTTATTTATTTACTTTTTAGATACTATTTTCTAATTTTTCACCCCATCTGTGTATAATTTGATAAAACTTAAAACCTTCTAACCATTTCATTTTTATAGATTCATATTATTGCCAAATTATATATTTCATATTTAGATATTTTTAAAAATTAATTTTATTCAAATTAAACATTAATTCGAACAAAATTAATTCAATAAACATGTTTAATTTTATGTGTACGACCTGGACTATTGCATTTTTGCGGTCCACCGATTTACCGCGTTGATGTTTTGAAGGCGATGAAACTTTCGCACGCTTTCATGCATCTTGTTTTCATTGAAATCACAGCTGCACCTTGGCAGAAAATTGTTTAAGTTTGTTAACTTTTATTCATTTGAGCTAGAACAAACTTTTCTTTTTTTCATTGCATTTAACCAGTTATTTAATCAAGTAGGTGAGTCGAGTAGGTTTAGCATGCGTTTGACATGCCAGTTTTAAAGGCCAATTAACAGAGTACGGCCAAATAGTGGATCAAGTATTCGGCCATTCGGTTTTTGTTCAAATTTACTACTCATTGTGTCATCAGTTTATGATCATTTGTGCTTGCATGAGCAGCACTTTAACTCTCTAAATCATGCAAAAAAAACTTTGCAAGTTATCACTATTACAATTTGTTTATTTTTATAAAATTATGTTTAGTCTATAAAATTTGAAATAGTTTCAACCTTTTAACTTATAATAAAAAATTTTAAATAATTTTGAAATTTTTTATTATATATTATATATATATATAAATATATAAATGTATAAATATATATATATATATATATATATTATTGATCAATCAATCAATCAATCAACCTATCTATTTAATTTATTGCCTCATAATTTATGTTTAACGGTGCTCTCTGATAAATTTTATATTTAGATATGGTTAATATTTCCTTCGAGCTAAGCGAGTGAATGTGAAGTAGTTAGAGAAGAAGATTGTAAGATTCAGAAAAAGGATTGGAGTAGGTTATGATGCAAAACTTTATTTTCCTAAACGCCGATTCATCTTGGGATGAATACTGAAATGAATACTGAAATGATTGTGCCACTGGTTAAGGGAAAGAGACAAGAATGCCACTTGAGAACTGTTATAAAACACATTAAAAGTAAAAAGCCAGGCCCAAGTGAAATAATGTACGGCCTGTCAAACCTATAAACTGTATAGATTGGAGGCCTCGTAAACAACGCAACTCCGCCCTGCGTTCGTTTGTACACTGTACAGAAGCTGCTGACATTTTTAAAATGCTTCAATTGTTTCCAGTTTGAACGTTGCTGATAATGAAAATCAAATCTGGTGATGCATTATTTTGGAACATTAGTGTGGGGTAAGTTATGAATCGCGGTCAGTTGTTTAATAAAATTTTAAATATAATTTGTATTGAGATTTTACAAAGTTTTTAATGTTTATTTGGGAACAAGTATTCATTTTTTTTTTGTTTTCAAATAAACCCTCGGTTCTGTTGTGAAGATAGAAAACATAATGACTTTACATAACCATGAAAAAAATGCTAATAAATCATGAGAATGGATGAAAAGTTGTTTGCTGCCTTCGACTAATGACTTTTTCGATACTTTTTCATTTATGGATGTGAGCAGGTCCCTCGTTTAATTGATTGACGCATGGCATGACTGAAACTACTTCACCTCGCAGATCGTAATTATTTTAAAAATATCACATCCATTAAGAAACACTAGGTGAACATTTTTATACAAATTAATTATTAAAATAAAGTTCTTAAACTATATATATCTTTAGTATTCATTAAAGTTCATGAAAAAATATTTAGAATGATACAAATTCGGCCAGTTAGTGGGCTCAAAAGGATTTCCAACCTGATTAATTTGTATGGGATTAGATATATACAGTTATTTTAAACATTTAACATTTTTAATTAGTTTTATTATTAATATTAATATCTATGTTTAAATTTAATTTATTATTATTACTACTTCTTTGCTTTACTTTTCCCTTTCTCTTTTTACGTTAGTACAAATTATTTCTATTCGTTTTAAATTGTCCGATTTATAATCCGACAACAAAAGCGAAATAATATTAAATCGAATATCCCTCAACAAATTACCGAAAATGATTGGAAAATGTTAAGCAAGAATGTTCACAGCGTAACGAAATTGAAACAATACAATTACTACTAATTTTAAATATAATAGTAACAACAACATCAATAATAATAATAACATCAACAATAATAATAACAATAGTAAAAAGAGCAATTCATTTGAATTAAAAAGTTTTTCCTACTATGAATAGAAATGTTTTTATTGCTTTTGAATTATTAGATTCATGTATAATTATGCATATATAAGTACAAATATGAATATATATATAGCAACTAAATATATATATTTAATTATCTATTTATTCATTCATTCATCCATTTACTTTTTTATTCAACAATATATATATATATATATATACATATATATATTGTACGTTATAAAATTGATTTTTGTATATCACAAACAAAGTAAAACTGGTTACAATAGCAAACATTCAGAGACCAGCAATCACACATACAACTTATCTCTCGTAGAATACAGCCAGTGGTGGCGGATCTAGACAACTTTGAAGGGGAAGGGGCCAAAAATATGGAAATCTTTAAATTTTCGCGGGGGAAACCAAGAGTTGCGGTAGTGTGGCTGAAGAACTTTTATTGCTTATCAAGTTCAATTTTTGGCCGATTTCACACATAAAACGGTCCTTCTTCGGACTTTAATTAAAAATATGCTCACAACGTGGGGGGGAGGCAGTGGTCTTCTCGGCCCCAATAGATCCGCCACTAAATACAACAGCCCATTCAATTGTATTGTGCTTCCACCAGCACTAACACATATTTTGAGAGTAGGTTGAATCAAGTAACTTATTGATCCTCATGGGAATACTAACAGATTTAATTGGAATACAAAATGCCTCCTTCATGAGCTATAAAATTATCTGAATTATATTTACAGGATTTGTTTTATAAAGTTTAAATTTAAAATATTTATAGATAATATATTTGTTGTTCACCAAGATTTTCTTGGTGCAGAAAATAGTTTAATATTTTCTACACCATAAAGTACTATTCTTATTATTCAAAATATTCCAAATATTAAACAATATTCACCGTCCTCACTCAGAACTTTTCAGTGATTTGCCACTTCACGGCTGACGTTCAACTGAACTCGACGACTTGTTGAAGCAGTGATGCGTTCAAACATTTATAACCGACAATACAAACAACGTATGTCACACCATCTCCGTGTTACATGCTTGAAACACTAAAAAATATGTTAATTAAATAATAACAAAAACAATAAATAAATAGATCAGTTATATAACATAACATTTTAAAACGTAAATAATAACGACAATATTCATCATAACTATAATTACAATAATAATAATAATAATATGACGAAAATAGCAATGTTTAACTCCAACAGACCACCATTTTCATAGAATTGTGGGGGAATGATTACTTTTAGGAACTTGTCGTTCCAAATATAGTTCTCGAGTTGACGTCTTTTGATAGTTTGATGTGAACTGACGAACATTGCGCGGAGGGACAGCTTGTACAGTTACGAATATTGATGTTGCAGAATGGCAGACAGATAGTGAGATATGAAAATTAAAAGCAGTTCAAAAATTTGTATCGAGTGATTTTTGTTCATTTGGAAAGATGAAGATGAAGTAGCTATAAAAATGTAAGTAAAATTCGTCATCACCAGAAAAACATGCAAACCATCTCACGCAATTATTGAAGAATGTGTGAAAGTAATTTGGTGCGAAGTGCATCGAAATAATTAAAATGTGCAGGTGAAAACTTAAAATAAAATCAGATTTTAAAATATTGAAAATGTAACGTGAAAGTAAGGTTATACGAATTAAAAATACCCGAAAAAACAGAATTTAAATGGAGTAGGTGGAGAATTTTTCAAAAGAAATATCATAACATACCTATAACACAATGAAATTAATGCTGAAAAAAATCAAAATATACATTCAAGTGAAGGAAATGTGAGGCTTAAGAAAATGGCCAATTTAAAAAAATTTGTTATTGCGTTTATGTCGATATTTTAATAATAATAATAATTATTATTATTATAACAAGCATCAGAAGCCCTGATAAGGTTCCTGTCTTATGATTTTGAGCATTCAATTGTTAGGTGCATAAAAAACATGTTTACCTGCTGTTATTAAAGATCTGTCAGTCAAACCACGTCTGCAAAATGCGGCTTTTAAAGTTTGAAAGTTCAATACTAATTCATTCTTCATCTGTCAAACAGGTTTCATAAAACAAAAGCCAGTTAGTCTACTGGGGCTGTTGGGATTTTATAAAATTGTCAATGAAACATTTTCCGTTTTTCCAATGTGCATTGACTGCTGCTGAATTAGACGCGCGTGCGTGCGTGTGTGTGTGCGTGCGTGCATGTGTGTTCATGTATAAGTAAGCTAGACGTGCAAGTTATATACCAATCAATAATAGTTTCTTCATAACTTTACATAATGTAGTTGGCCTTCATCATTAAATAGATGGCGAAAGGATTGCAACAGCAATGACCTCAATTATGAATTTATTGCCTCTATCTCTCATGACAACATAGCTGTGAACTCTTCTATCTAATCACAATTCAAATTATTTGTCCTCTACTTTATTAGTTTGCTTCTTACAAATCGATTCCATTAGAAAACTCTCTATTATTTATTCCACCAATTTAATTCAGCCTTCATTCTTCGGGGATTTGACAATAAGTTAATATTTCTTTCTGAATTATTCAGAGATATCAAATGCGCCTCAATGAACAAGAACGTGAATCTAACGGTTAACACATGCGTTTGTGAAATTGTACAATTTTTTGTGGTAATAATGATCGATTTCATTCGCATTC